TATCTGCCCTGTCCATACATGACCATATCTCTGCCATCATTGAAACAGTTGTAACAAAAGATCAAGCCCGAACCGATCAGGGCTCCCTATTTGGTACTAACACACTCCTCCACCAGGTTTTCATGGCTTCCGTGCACTTCCCACCGTCTTTGAAATTGCCTTCCATGACGAGAAAGTCGTGAGCATACCTCGGCTGCAGGTCCAACCGCACAGGCAGCCCAGGATTACCACGGCGCACCTTATCCACGAACTCAACGTCCTGGTCTAGGAAGACTTCTTGCTCGCCGGCGGTGACATACAAACTTTTGACAACCTTGCTGAGCCCACCATCCCAGATGTCGTGCTTGTGCAGTGAAAAGACGCGGCTTCTGGGGTTCTTAGGGTTTTCCGACGGCCTAATTTCCTCAAGGATGTCTCTCGCAGCTTTTTGAATAGGCCACGACGATAGCAAGTCGACATTGGAGTTTTTAGCGAATGAGTTGTCGTTTGTGCGATCGCTTAGCCATGGAGACACAAGGCATGCGCCACTCAAAGGCTCGGCGAGCTGAACCTGCGCAACCATAGGGTGAGGCTGAACCAGATGCCCTAAGACCTGTGCTACCAGATTCCCACCGGCCGAGTCCCCAGCGAGAGCAATATCGCCGGGCTGGAAGCCGGACTTGATGAGATGGGAGAGGGCGCTCGCAGCTTGAGTGAGCTGACTGGGATACTTCACTTCAGGGCAAAGCGTGTACTCGAGCACGGCTACCGCAGTTTCGACGTCTTCTTCAATGCCGGCGGTAACGTAGGCTCGCCAGCTCCAATCCAGATGCCCATCTAGCAACGGGATGACGTAGCCGCCACCATGGAGGAAAAGGACAACCTTTTTGGCCTTGTTCTTATCTCCTACCCAAAGCAGGAAAGACTTGCCATCCTCGAGGGTCTCGACGTCGTGACTTAGTCTGTCGAGGACGACACGATCGTTGACATTCTGGGCTTTTTGAATTCTGCGGCGTACCCAGCCGTCATACGTCTTTCTCGTCGCTGGTGTGACGAACTGGATTTGACGGGCGCGGAGACTGTACAGGTAGGTTTTCGCAAAAGCGGCGAGAACATAGAATCGCAGGGGTAGCCCTCTGATCCAAGCGACGGAGACGACAGTCACTAAGTTCACAAGCAGCTGCAGGGGGACTGATGAGCACGGTTAGTAACATCTCTCACATTGGAGCCGCCGAACGTACAGATGAAGATCAGGCGCAAAGCCAGGCGCACCTTTTCCTGCAGAGAAAAGTCGGGATTCATGATGGTAATGACTGAACCTCTCTTGAATGGTAAAAGAGAAACTTTCGAGCCAGATTTAGGAAGACGCGTTTTGAAGGGGGCTGGGTGGATTGATTTATCAGCCACCAATGAAACATGCAGCTATCTCCAGCCGAGGCTCCCCACTTCAGCTGTTCAGATGAACCGCCGACATGTCACAGCTTGGCACATGTACCCAGCCGTGGCCTCAAAACAGTCGAGCAGAAGATGAGTGTTCAAATGAATGCGCCAAGCACCTTACGTAAATCGAGAAGAAACCATAAAAAGCAAATTTGGCGCATCCACACGGCTTCCGAGGCACGAATGTTCAACCGGTAGTAGTGTTGGGTGTAGTTTCATTTACGACGGACGAAGTAAATAGGCTGAAGCGGCTGACACAAATAATGGAGCATAACTGAATAACAGTAGTCTGATTACTCGTTATCGATCATTGCACTTTGTGCGCTTCTCCTTGAGTCATGCGTAATATTTCAAATTTATCAATGACTTTAGTCCTCTAAGCCAAGAGTTGACCAAGTTCTCTGACAGCTCTGCTCTAGGAGGAAGCGGTTCCACCTCTGCGGGTAGCGACGAATCATGGCTTCCTCAAGCTTCTCAGAATCTCCAGCCTTCTCCAGCTCTTCTTCGAATGCCAGTATATAAGCCCTTGTGGCCTCAATTAGATATGATCCATCGATCTGGGAGGCTCGTTTGTGGCCAGGTACGACAATGTGAGGATCCAAGGCCGCTATTTGGTCCAAAGACTGAAGCCACATTTGTCTTTTCTCGGGAGTATTGGCTTCGCCAAGGAACTGATAACAATCCCCGTACACTATGTCTCCACACACGACGAGTTTAAGGTCAGGAACGTGAAGAAATGACGAAGCATCTGTGTCCGAGTGCGGTACGTCGATGCCTTGGAGTAGGTGGCCATCAATATCAAACTTTCCGTCCGCAGGCAAAGCGATGGGGATATGCTGGTCGCCAGCGATCTGCTTGTTGGGAAAGAGCTTGTCCCAGAACGCCAGACTGCCAGGCCATTGTTTACGGATGCCATCAACAACGGAGACAGTGGCAACGCATTTGGCTTCTGGGAAATGGCGGAGAATAATGGGGTTGCCGAGAAAATGGTCTCCGTGTCGATGCGTGGTGTAGATGTACTGCAACTTCTTGCCAGGGGCTGTCTTTTTCACCCAGGCTGCGAGGCCTTCGGACAGTTCGATGGTGGCCGGCGTATCGACCAAAACTGCTGATGTTGGCCCTTGGATGAGGGTGCAGGATGTGGGCGAGAACCATCTTTTAGACGGATCCAGGTGCCCGGTGGCTATGGGTGCAGCCGGTGCAACATACACATCGACCCGAAGATTGCTGATCATGATTGAGTATGTGAAGAATTGAGAAGAAGTTACTCAAGGCTTGACAGACGATACTGCGGCCACCTCAATGTTCCTCGGTGGCTTCTTATATGTAGGTTTCTTGTTGAGTATTACCAATAATGGCAAGGATATCTCGGTAATCATCAAGCCCAACAAGAACAACTCGAAAGCAGTTATCTCCAGCTACGGAATACGAGTACGAGACGGCGGGCATGCATCTCGTCTTGGGTCCGCGAGAGGATTGCTAAGCAGAACCATGATCAGGACGAAGAATCGTGTCATAGATCAATACACTTTGCCAAGCCGTGCTTTATCCCATCGGCAGCAACTAATTTGACATGATCAAGGTCACATATTGGCCAGTGGCCCAGTTTGCAGTGTCGTAGTTATCGCTGATGTGGGGTTGATGCGAATAATTGGTCCACTAAGAGCAAGCCAAATTGATTACTGAACAGATTCGCGGTCGTCAACTCCCGGTGTGCGGTCAGTCTGACAGGGATTAGTAAGGTGTTGCAGGTCAGGAATGTTGTAGATGGTCAAAACTTACTTGGAAAAGCCTACTGAGGCTTTTACGAGTTGGTGTTATCACTGTCTAAAGCATGGTATTTGTAAGCCGTTGGACAAGTTGAGGACGAGAACTCTGCCTATGGCGCCATCACCGCCATCAGCTTCAATCATTCTGACTCGTGGTGACTTGCTGACGTTCGAAGTAAACTTCTTGTGGATCAGTCGATCTGGAGAGTCTCGAGGCCGATTTCAAAGATATAAGTTGGGCCAGACGGGTCGTGTTTAGATCAATCTTCAAACCAAGAGCACCATCATCCTATTTCCATCTTTGACTGTATACCTTTGCTTCAACTTATATCAACATGAATTCGACTTCTATCCGAAAAGTGCTCGTCATTGGCGCAAGCGGCAATGTTGGAACTTCCGCAATCAAGGCGCTCTTGGAGGACGGGTTCCAGGTCACTGGACTTACTCGAGAAACTTCGGTAGCATCGCTGCCGAAGGGCGTCACGCACTTGAAGAGCGACTTTTCCGAGGCCTCACTGGCGAATGTTTTCAAGGGCCAAGACGCAATTGTCAGCACCCTATCAAGCATCTCCCCAGCCGGTGCTCTGGCCTCTCAGAACTCCCTCATAGATGCGGCCATAGCTGCGGGAGTCAAGGTCTTCATCCCCTCGGAGTATGGCGTCGACACGTCTGATCCATCGGCCCCAAAGATCATCCCATTTCTTACCGACAAGATTGACACTCTCGACTATCTCAAAAAGACCCAGGACAAGATTTCATGGACTGCCATTGTCTCCGGGGCCATGTTCGATTGGGGCCTTGCGATCCCTGGTTTCGGGGGCTGGAACGTGGCAGCTCGAACTGTCACAATTTACGACGGCGGAGACATTCCCTTCGACGCCACCAACCTTGGCCAAGTTGGCAGAGCCATCTCCAAGTCCTTGAAGAATCCGGAACTCACCAAGAACCAACATGTCTATGTCAATAGCTTCACCATCACGCAGAATCAGGTTCTCCGAGCCTTGGAGAAAGTCACCGGAGAGAAGTTTGATATTTCTCATGGTTCTGTTGAAGAACTTTGGCAGACCGGTGCTGCTCAAGTCCGAGACGGGCAGCCGCTAGGTGCTCTGGGCCTGATTGCAGGTGCTGTGTATGGGAAAGGGGGGCTGGCGCAATACTCCGCCAAAAGGGGCCTTTGGAATGAGAAACTGGGTTTACCAGAGGAGAATCTTGAAGAGTTCTTGAAGCGCTATGTTACAGGAAAATAGTGACACTCAGCTAGAGCCATCGCCAACAATGGCATACAGTTGCTCCTAGTCAAGATAGCACTGGATGCACATTCACAGGTCCAGATTCAAGCAAGCAAGCCATGTCAATTTAATAGATGGACTCGAAGTGGCAAGTGATAATACGGCAGCCAGAATTCCAATGTCGTTCAGTGGCAAAGCCCATTGAAGCCGCTGTCGCCGTGACGATCAGGTACCCAGCTCCAGAGCCGAGTCAAAGATTGGCCTCCTGGAGTGCGGGGGTTCCCCACCGACAATCAGCGGAAATAGGAGGGGATTGTGAGCCACGGCACGGGACGTCCGTCAGTGGAGAGAGTAACTAACTGAAAGTCACTGGGACTCTAGATAGTGCTGGCGCATCAAGGCAAAATGGTGCAAGGGCCGAGTCAACTGTGCCTTCAACCTGCGTAAGCCAAGCCAGTGTCAGAACTAACTCTGTTGATAAGTCGCATAAATAAGCCTCAATTCCAGACGAAAATGAAAATAAGCCGTCATTTCTTGCTGCTGCATCTTGTTGTCTACCTCCAGAAGAATTAAAGCATTCAAAATGAGCACCGAAGATTTCCTCCTGATTCTGATGCCGTGGACACCGGACCCAGCTTGGGTTGCCAGTCTCGGAATGCCGGTTGAGTCCCGCAAGCTCGGTATGTACCAAACAGAACTACCAAGCGACATCAGCCCGGAGACATGGGAAAAGGTGACTGTCCTTTTTACGTGGAAATTATTTCCGACCAAAGAAATGGTACCGAATTTGAAGTACTGCCAGCTTCTCAGCGCTGGGTGCAACCAGATCCTGGGACTGCCGCTCTTTGAAGAGACAACCATCGACTTTTGCACGTCCAGTGGAACGCACCCGTAAGCAACCAACGCAAAGCCACGACGCTGTTTCTACTTGCACCGTAGCTCACATGAAACAGACCTCAGATTGCGGAATGGGTTTTCTCGACTTTCCTGGCTTTTCAACATCACAGTAGGCCTACTATGAAGCTCTTCATGCCGACAAATGCTGACTCGTTCCAAGTTCCCGAATACCTTGACAACCAGAAAGAGTCCAAATGGATCGACCCTCCATCAGATGAAGACACCGAGGATTCAGTGGGTCTGCGAGTGAATGTGCCAAACACCAACACCCATAGTTTCAACTAACAAAACCTAGAGGAATTCTCGGCTACGGCTGCGTCGGTCGCCAAGTCGCCCATGTAGCCAAAGCTTTCGGGATGAGCGTCCACGCTTACACACTGCATCCACGCCTCACACCCGAGTCCCGTAAAGACGACTCTTTCACGGAGCCAGGTCTAGGAGACCCCAACGGCGAGTATCCATCGAAGTGGTTCTACGGCAAAGATCAGCTAGACGACTTTCTCGCCTCAGATCTTGATCTGTTGGTCATCACGCTTCCACTCACGGACCAGACCAAGGGGATGATCTCTCACAAGCAGTTCCAACTGTTGAGCAAGAAGAAGACTTACGTTTCTAATGCCGGAAGAGGCGCCGTGATCAACACCGACGATCTTGTTGATGCACTTGATGAGGGCCTCATCAGAAGCGCAGCGCTGGATGTCACTGATCCAGAGCCGCTTCCTGCTGAGCATAAGTTGTGGAAGTACAAGAATGTCATCATCACACCCCACTGTGCTGGAAACTCCAATCATTACTATGAGAGAGTGCGGAAAATACTTGTGTATAACCTGGAGAGACGCGCCAGAGGCCAGAAGCTTGTGAACATTGTGAGCCGGTCAGAGAGATACTAAGCTAGAAGATCTTGGCATTGGTAGTGAATACATGGTATCTGTCTACCAAACTTTGAAAGTGATATCAACGAAGTAATATTTAGGAGTTTTACTATCCAGGCGGATACTTCAAGTTATCCAGGCAGGTAGTAGGTATCAACAATAATAAGGATAATAATAAAGGCAATAGTGAAAACGATAGGAATAGGGACGATAAGAACGACAAGGACGACAGGGATATTAAGTTATTAGTATAGAATAAACTATTTGACTTAGTATAATAGCTATCTAACTAATTAGCCAGAAGTATCCGCCCAGATAGCAAGACTCATATTTGGCTATTACGTGGTGATCTATTTTTCGCAGCAAGCTTTCTATCATCTGAGAGTTCGCAACGGGGAGCTTTCTTGTAGGGCTGGGATCATATATGATGGGGTGGCAAAATTTGGTGAATTCACGAAAACTGAGGTGTGAAACTGATTGCTTCGACATTCTTCCTACGCTCACGTCACGATGCTGTCATAGTTTAGGGTGTCATCCCAGCCAGCTTTCAGGGTTGGCGACTAGGGATAACTCTGAGTACTTTGTAAACTCTTCAGCCAGCATAGTTCGCCGTTCCTGTTGTAGCACTTCTACTATCACCCTCTCTATCTTCGCCTACACTATTTCTAGCCGCTCGGACAGCCCAATTTTCTGCGTTTCTTGTGGACACTCCACGACCACGTAAAGCGAATCAAGTCATCGAGAGCAGAAGATTCTATTTGTTTACTGCATGTAGACCGTTCAAGTGAACGCAGCTGTATAAATGGCACACATGTATTCGAGGTTTCAGCGAAGAGGTGCCACGCGAAATGCTCAGCTAAAAACCTCGCTCTTGTGATTTAATTACTCCAGCTCACAGCTTCGCCAAAACTCAGTTGGCTTGAAGGAGTGATAGACGTCCTTTGTTGATGTCTTTTACAATCTTGCATCTGAAAATGATCAGTGTTGCTTCTCATCAGCTTCGTCTAGGACACCTACCCAGCAAGACATATGGCTAGTTTCAACTCATCATGAACCAGATTGACTGCCAATTGGACACCTTCAGATCCGTTGTACTAATCCCGGGTTCATCAGCTTCTTTGAGAACAGTTATCGTGACGTTTGTTTTGAACCTACTGCCAATCCTCAGATGGGAACTCGTCCTGCGAAGCAGAAGTCCGCACCAAGGGCAAGGACTTTGAAGATGTCAGTGCCTCGTCGGATTCCACCGTCGACTGCAATCTTGATTTTCCCCTTCGCGATAGGGGCACATTCTCTCAGGGCTCGAGAGTAGCTGGAACGCCATCAAGTTGTCGACCGCCATGGTTCGAAATGAGCACACCGTCAACACCATGCTCGATGGCCAGTGCAACGTCCTCGGCGGTGTAGACTAAGAAACTCGGTCAGATGGTATCTTTGTAGTCTTTACAAATGGCCTGTTACCTCCTTTGAGCCATACATCCAGCTTGGTGTTCTCCCTTATCCAGCCGAGGGCCTGCTCCCAATTCATGCCGTCCTCTGGTAATAGTCAGCATTTCCATAGAATGTGGGTACGAGAACGTTCTATTACCATATGTCAAGTCAAGACCTTGATCGACGAGGTTTCTCATGTCCATTCCTGGGGCAACGTTGGGATACCCCATTCCTTCGGGCAGGCCAAATGCGTTCCTGTACTCGTTCAGGCGACGACCAAGCATCGGCGCGTCCACAGTCATCATCACGGCCTTGTATCCTGCCTCTGTCCACAGGCCACGTCAGTGAGTACCATCATAGCCACTTCATCCCTACAACTTACGCTCCGCCCGCTGTAGGATCTGCCTAGTGATGTCTCGATTCTTCAAGACACTAAATTACACGATGTAAGGGTTCCCCTGGCCTTGCGCGGTGACATCTTCGAGAGAACAAGTGGCGTACGCAGAGAGTGTCATGTGAATGCCAGCCGCCGCCGCGCTCGGGACGTGGCTACCTCTCCCTCCGGATGCGCCAACTTATGAGTTGCTGCAGGCGAGAATCCGAAAGGTAGCGCCACCTTCGCGCCGAAGATTGTGGTGGTTGTGTCAATGTTGGACACATCTCTGAGGACCCGAGGTCTGATCTTGTGGCGATTGTAGGCCTCCTCATTGTCCCGTACTCTACAACTTCGTGTCAGACATTTGTGAAACAGCTAGACGATAGCAAAACTTACGTTATCATGTCCATAGCTCCTTCATTCAAGAATTCTGTTTCACGAATGAGCCTGGATATCCATGGTTTGACGAAAGAGTTTTGCCTTTGTAAGCCCGAGGTAGCTTCTTGGAAGCTTCTTACTTCAGGTCTTTGATACTAAAGACCTTTTCATCAAGAGTCTTTCCGCAATTAGCCATGCTGGAGATCGTGTTTCAAGGTGAACAACTGGGTAATGAGATTGGTTGTGAGCTTGCCCAAATTTGGAAAACTTGACCAGCGGAAATTAAGCATCGCGACGGTGACCCAACAGCTATACACAAACAAAAGTCATTGAAAACATGGGCACGAACTCATTTGGCGTATTCCACATCCCCGGCCGATTTGGTTTCTCGGGTGGTGCGGGGGCGGAGCGGCGGTTGAGCCGAGTCATATCTGACTCGGCCCGCAGCTAGGCGGCACACCCCGCGTTCCTCCCCCGACCACTGCAATCAGAACCAACTTCGTTCCGTGTGATGAATCTCCCAACTGAGTTTCTTTAGGCAATCGAGGTAAAAACCATGTCATTGCGGGGCAACAGTCCCGTTGACTTCATCCTCGGGCATGCTACGGCCGTGTGGGGTTGCACGGGAGCCATGTGCATTGAATGCTGGCGGGGGAGGAGCTCCAACGGATTGCCTATCTCTCACTATTTCCATCACTCTCTAGGCTTCACTGTATTGATCATCGGTGCATCCCTTATCTGATGTCAGTTGGCAGGGGTGACAATCATGCACATGATACACCCTCTTCTATCACACAAAGCCGGAGAGCTTGCTAGTTGGTTGGAGCATGAACCCATTTGGGCAAAAGAACGCGCAGCCTTTCGATGGTTCTGGTGTACTCGTTGGTTCGGAAGCCTTGGTTCTGATAAGCAATAGTTGTAGTTGACTTGACTCGGCTCAACATTGACTTCACATCCATGGGAACGTCGAGAATCGCAGGAGTCGCGATGTCACCCGTCAGAGAACGTGTGGTGTCGACATGTACCACGAAACGATAGGAGATAGAGAGAGGTAGACATGTAGCTTTCAGGGAATATTTAAGATAGATGCAGGTCCAATAGATGCAAAGAGTCCGATCTTGACTTCATAGGTGAAGCTTCTCGCGCCGCATCTCCTAGCAGCTGTGTATGCTCATCAACAATTAACCATTGTTCGTCATGGCGCTCTCGGCAGCGTTGCAAGGCCCTGGAAAGAGATTCTTCCACAACTACCGATTCTACCTGCTAGCAACCGTGTCTTACATGGGCTCCCTCCTCTTCGGTTCGATCCCATCACCCGCAAACGTCCCAACTCTCCATTCTAACTCTACCAGGCTACGACGTCGGCGTCATGGGCGGCCTCCTCCCCTTCGAAAGCTTCAAACGCGACTTCGGCCTCCCATCCGGCTCGTCAGGCTTCGCCAACGAAAAAGTCGCTGAAGTGTCCTCCAACATCGTCTCGCTCCTGACAGCCGGCTGCTTCTTCGGCGCCCTCTCCGCGGCCCGCGCCAACGAGCGGTACGGGCGGCGCTACTCCCTCATGGCGTACTCCGTCGTCTTTCTCCTGGGCGCCTCGCTCCAGGTGGGCTCGCCGAGGAGTCTGCAGTACGTTTACGCGGGCAGGGTCATCGCCGGCCTGGGCGTCGGGGGCATGAGCTCCATCACGCCCGTCTTCGTTGCGGAGACCGCGCCGCCTGAGTTCCGCGGCCGTATCACCGGGTTGTTCCGGGAGTTTTTGGTGCTGGGGAGCAGTATTGCATACTGGCTTAACTACAGCGTGGAGAGGAACATGCCATCTACAACAAAACAGTGGAGGATCCCCTTGGGCGTGCAGCTGATTCCCGCAGGCCTGTTACTTATCGGGTTGATCCCGCTGAAAGAGTCCCCGCGATGGCTGGCTAAGCACGGTCGGAATGAAGAGGCGTTGGCTTCTCTAGCTTACATGCGTAATCAGCCGACCGATGACCCCGACGTTGTCAGCGAGTTCAACGAGATCACCGTGTGATGTGGCGTCGACGCCGAAGCAGCGCGCCAGTTGACTTGGAAGGAGTGCCTCAAGCCTGGTGTGCGGAACAGATTCTTACTCATCTTCGCACTCATGGTGTGGCAGCAGCTCACCGGCACGAACTCCATCGGCTACTACGCCCCTCAGATCTTCCAGACGGTTGGTGTTTCGAGCGCCGATGCGTCGTTGTTCGCGACGGATATATACGGTATCGTGAAGCTCATCTTCACTGCAGTCTCTCTTCTCTTCGTCATTGACAAGATTGGCAGGCGCTAGGCCCATACACTCGGTGGGTTATGGATGTGAGTTGCGTATTCAAGGATGGCTGGGTAGCCGTACTGACGTGCTCTAGGTCTGCCATGATGTTCATCCTCGCTGCCGTCCTAGCCACTCATCCCCCCGGGGATGGCAAGGCGGTGTCCTCGGCATCGATCGCTATGTGTGTCTTGGTCTATCTATATGTAATCGCCTACACGGGCTTCTGGGGTCCAGGGTGAGTTGCCTCCGTGAGCTAGGAGGTGCGAGTTGCGACTGACAACTGCAGGCCATGGATCTACGCAGGAGAGATCCTCCCGACGCATCTTAGGCCTTACAGAGTTGCATTTGCCGGTAAGCTGGTGGAAAGCGGGATCTTTCTGGGCTAACAAGCTAACGAGTTCTCAGCCGCCACTCAGTGGCTATTCAACTTCATAGTCACCCGCGTAACGCCGCAGATCATCTACGGAATCGGTTGGAAGACGTTCATCATCTTCGCCGTCTTCTGTCTTTCCATGAGTATCTTCACGTTCTTCTTCATGAAGGAGACCAAGGGGATGAGTCTTGAGCAAGTCGATGTTCTTTTTGGGTCGGCCGGGCAGCACGGCGGTCACTCGAAGCTGGAGAGACCGAGGTAGTGCACGGCGTGGAGATAGAAGAGCAAGTGAGAGGCAAATCGCACCCCAAGGGTGACGATGATTGAGAGAGCGACTGTCTTGGATGAAAAACACGTCATTGTAGAATGTGGTGGTTGTTGCCGTTGGCAAATATGTGAAGATGGAAGGGGTTCGGGTCATGATGGAATGGATGGCCAACCGCGTGAACGCAAGTGTAGTTCGCTGAGATCGAATTACGTTACCACAGGTAGGGCATCTCAGGACGTCACGAGTAGAAATAGATATTTTCAACAAGATTCCAAGGGCCAGCGGGAGCGTCGTCTTTTGCCCCCTCTCATCTTCAGAAACGCAACTTGCACGCTCGATCCCGAACTCTCGGGTTTTGAGCAATACTCGAATGCAAAAGCGCAATCCGAGCCTTTGGCAGTACCCTATTCGAGGCGGCTTCCCACAAGACTGAACAAGATCAGAGGAACACGGCTTCCGGAGGACGAAGCACCGGCGCCATAAGTTACTGAATGACAGCGTGCGAACGACGTATGGCGATCACGTCGAGACCTTGGAAAAGAGGCCATGTATTCGTGTTGATAGAAGACACCCAATGGTTTCCGGAAACTTCAGCTGCAAAGTGCACGGTCGCCCACAACAGCGAGGTCACCCAGCAATCTCGCCGGCCGATCTCCATCAACGCCAAGAACCGTCGGAGCTCCAACCACGGTATGCCGCTTACAACCAAGCTTCCAGATCGAACCGGCGAGAAACCTCAAGCCTTCAAACAAAACCCACACGGCCCATCAAGCGTCATGTCCACCTCCGCCGGACCAAACAACTCGGCACAGCGCCATAGCAGTATCCAAACATCGCCATCAGACAAGACTCCCAACATGCCACATCACAGGCGCAGTCGCATTTGCAACAAACGCGTCAGACCCATCGACGCAGACTCGCTTCGTCATCTTCGACGCTGTCGCCAGCTTCAACCCTCCATTCCTCATCTTGGCAAACCCGCCAAGACCGCTCTCGAGAATGCAGCCCCAAACCATCGCCGACCGAACACCGTCCAACCTCCATCTCAGCCCTCCAAGACTCCCGTTCATCGCCAAGCCGACCGGAGACTTTTCCAGTCGACGCAACTCAAAACATACGCCGCCGAAAAGGAAAACGCTGGTTATCCCGACTCTGGAGCGCGCGCCTCGGCGAGCGGCGAAGAATAGGGCGAGCAGCGCCCGAGGGAGCAAGAACGGATGAAAATGCGGAAATGTGACTCGGAGAAAAGACCCTAAACTCAAAATTCGTTTGCGCATCGGGGGTCCCGCGATAACGGCCGGAAATGCCCTCACTCGAAGGTTTCTTCCCACCGTGGAGCTGAGGAGGGAAAAGCCCACTCACACACACCATCGCGACGCAGCCCAAAACAAAACTCTGAAAGGAAGGCGCCGAGGAGGCCGAATAGCGAGGGTTCTCTTATCGTGCACTTGCCACACGCCTACCCAAAAACATAGCATGATCGATGCATCGCAAGCGAAGCAAGAAGAGACAGACGCAGAAAGAGAGAGTCATGAAAATAAACCTTTTCCCACGCCTCAAAACACCTCCCACTTTCCGCCCATTCAGCGGCGCGACCCAAGAAAGACGAGATAAGGCCATATTTAAACATCAATCAATCTGAAGAAAAAGGGGGACTGGAGACCCGAAGGGCGGCGCTAAGGCTTAAGCATGCCCTCTAAAGAAAATTGTCCTAATTAAATGCAGACCCCCGGCCCAGCGTGACATCACACCCAAACAGCAAACTATCTAAACTCCCTGTCAACAGCTCCCCCAGCTGCCCCCCTAAGCCCCAACGTCACAGACCACCGCTTCTCCGTCCCAACTCCGGACCACAGAAATCACATGAAACGCCGTCTCGACAACGCACAAACCACCTCATGTTTCGGACCAAGGTCCGCGACCTGACCCCCCCTCGTCCCCCGACACCTGCCAAGATCTAGATTGCCCTCAGATTGTAGGCACGGATTCTTCCATTGCGCGGGATGGCAGGCTGACATAATCGGATTGCATGAAGGTGCCAGCCAGGAAAGAGAGGAAGACGAGACGAGAGGGCGATGATCAGACGCCGCAGCTTGGACGGGGGCATCCCACACCACCACCACACTTTCTGTCGTTGCTTTCGGTATACCTCCTGCCACCCCAAGATTCGCTGGCATGAAGGTGAGAGTGTTCAACCCAAGTGAGATTAAGGTTGTCAGGCCGTTGGCGGAAGTTAGCCCACCACCCATTCGGAATTGTCACGTCAAAGTTAGTAGACATCACCAAGTGCGCGTCTGAAGAGAACATGACCGAAGAAAAAAGTGAACAAAAAATTATGTGCACTCTACTGGAATTGTGTCTTCCATTTCTTTCCAAGCCATGCTGCGTATCCTGTCAACGGAAAAGAAAACAACTCCCTCTAAATGTACAGAAAGGTTTCGATCATGAAAACGGTTTGGGTGGTCGTCGAGGAGGAGGTAGGAGGAGGGGGGGGACATTAGAACAATAATACGGGGAGGTGTGTTGAGGGTTGCTCTGCCAATGTTGTGTGGTATCGGGGGGTAAACGGTTTTTCATGATCCAGGAGTAACAACAAAATAAAGAAAAACCACCAACACGGTGCCCACGACCCATTGGCAACCAAGATTCGTCTAGTAATAAAACCTTCATTGTGTGTAGACCCATTCGTCGTCGGAAAAAGGTTGGACGACTCTCTCACAAAGAGAAAAAACAAAGAAACACCAGAACATTTTTGTCGTAAACCCGTCATCGGGGGGTAAAAAGTAAATGCCGGTAGGGTAGCCCCGTTGGGTGAGCGGTGCCGTCAAATATTCCAATCCTCGGGGGTCGTCGTCGTCGTTCGTCGCAGAAGAAATGGGGAAAACACTCAAGAGGGGATTCGATTACGAGAGCTCCTGGATGCAGGCCTGGACCTGGGCATCGCATTCGGATGTGGAAGCCCCGTTACCCTGTCCACCGTTGATAGCATTGAAGCAGGAGTTCCGTTGAATGTCGCAGGCACGCTGCACGGCGCTGGCCTTGGAAATGAAAGAGTTGCCGTTGACGGAGAAGGGTCGGCTGCTATCGCCCGAGTCCGTGACCGCCGGGGCCGCGAGCCCGAGGATTGCGTTCGACGTTGCGCCTCCCTTGCCACCAGCGGATCCGGAAGAGTTACCGTTGGCGTTGTTGTTGGAGTTGCCGGAGGCGCCTCCCGTCTGGGTCGGCACCGCTGCCGACGAGGCTGCCGAAGAAGTCGCCGACGAGGCGGGTTTACTGGCGGCGTCCCCGTCCTGAGCGGACGTGTTAGCATCAGCGGAATTTTGGGCATTCTGTCCGGACTGGGTTTGTGAAGTGGCCGCACCAGGGTTACCGAATCCGGGGAATTGGCCTTGCCCGAACGGGTTTCCACCGTTCTGGCCGCCAGGGAAGCCTCCTCCGTTCTGAGCACCAGGGAAACCTCCATTTTGAGCACCGGGGAATCCTCCAGGGAAGGCTTGGGTACGGGTATTAGCGCGAGGGTAAGGGAGAGAGGGGGGAGAGAAGGGGGAAAAGAAATTGAAAATGCCTCGGGTTCAATGTGCGAAATGCAAAGGGGGGTTCTAAGGTGTTATGCGTTGTTGGCATTACCTCCTTGACCGGCGCCTCGTTGTCCCGCACCAGCAGCGCGGTTGCCGCCTTGAGCCCTCTTTCCGGCGTTCTGCTTACCTCCTCGGTTGCCGCCGTCTGTTCCAGTGGTTAGCTTCAGAATCGTGAAGTCTGCGGGGTCACTCACTCTGGCCGTTGTTTGCGTTCTGGCCATTGTTGCCATTCTGGCCGGTGTTGGCGTTCTGGCCGTTGTTGTTGTTGTTGTTGTTGTTGTTGTTCTGGCCGCCGTTGTTGTTGTTGTTGTTGTTGTTGTTTCCTCCGTTGTTGCCGCCGTTTCCGCCAACGGTGAACTTGTTGCAGTCATCCTGAGCACCACGCTGAGCGACGGGCATCAGAACAGGCTGGTGGTTGGAGGCGGAAGACATGGTGCAGACGCGGTAGTTTCCAGCAGGGAGACCACCAGTGACGGTGGCCTTGAGGTTGCCGTTGCCATCACCGGCATCGTTAATACCCTTGAAGAACACGAACTTGGACGCATCCAGAGGCTGCTGAGGGGTGAGGGAGTTGCCCATGTCCTGAATGGTGACGTGAACGTGACCGACGATCTGACCCTGGCCGTTGAGGTCCTGGGGAGCAGAGTAGTAGGTGGCCTGGGCATCAGTGAAGGAACCGGCAGCCAGGTTGTTGACCTTGAGTTCAACGTCAAAGTCCTGGTTGGCCTGAATGTTGCCGTTGTGAGGGGGGTTCTGCAGGACGGTGGAGACCATTTTGGTGTTGGCGGGAATCTTGCCCATGACGATACCGTTGCAAGATCCAGCGGTGATCTGCTTGCCGTCGGTCACTGTCTCGCCGGAGCAGAAGTTGATGAAATTGGCGTCGTCACTGGCCGAGTGGTTAGTACATCGCCGGTGTTTGAAGGGCTCGGTGGACTCACGTAGCGGACTGGGCCTGCTGGGCAGCGGGTGTTCCGGCAGACTGGGAACCCTTCTGGACAGCGTTCTGTTGCAAGCAGAGTTGGCCGTTGTTGCCTCCGTTGTTGTTGTTGTTGTTGTTGTTGTTCTGGCCGTTGTTGCCCTGGTTTCCACCACGGTTTCCGCCACGGTTCTGACGCTTAGCCAAGGCGGCGCTCAGGGGAGAGTCGATGTCCATGAAGGTGACGCCGGCCTCGGCGACGACGGCCATGCCCGCGAGGGCTGCGACGAGGTTCTTGATCTGCATCTTGATCTCGGATACAAAAAGTTGTCGAATCGAGGGGGTTCGAAGGGTGCTGTCGACCGAGTCGCTCTCAATAAAATACTATAGTTGTCGTTCGAAGGGGTGGTTCCAGACCGAGGAGCGAACAGAGTAGAGTACGAAAGGAACGGTCACAGACACCGGATACGCAGCTGAAATTGAAATGAATGAATGAA